GAGAAGATATGGCAATGTTACAACAAACATATGCATTAATACCTATTTTTTGTTTGAAGAAAATTTTTTGAATTAACAAAATATTTTGAAAAATATATTGTTAATGTAACATCTAATAATTGTTACATGTAATAAATTATTCAACGGATAAACATTTACAAAACTAATAACTTATAGTTATTAAATAAGAGATATTAATGTATACCGTAAATTATCTCCCTAATAAAGTAAATATTACTCATAGATCATTAATTTTTCACTAGTTAACTAACATTGTTTATAGATCATTAATAATAGTGGAAATTTTTTCTTTTAATTTCACAACATTTGTATTTGAACTGCTGATAAATAAAAATTTTTTCAATGTTTGAAAAGAATGGAAATTTTTTAACTTGATTGTTTCCAAATTTCTTACAAAAATCTTAAAGAATTCAAAAAAATAATCTAGAATAACTTTCAGTTTTTATATTTAGCTTGAATTTGTAAAAATGTTATGACTAAAAATTTTGTTGAAATTATTTTTACTTAATAAGATTTCAACCAAAGATCAAAAAATCTTCTTAATATGTAGGTGAAAATTTCAATAAATTAACAAAAAATTTACAAATTATAGCACAAATTTTAGCTTCTAAAATGCTCCATCAACTTCCTCTAATTTAATTAAAATTAGAAAATACCTCAGCTAATCGAATATTATTCCTTTGTAATACATTAATACCCTTCCTCCATTTGTGAGGTGATTTTTTACGAAAAATATGACCAACATGACTGCATGGTACCACTTCCAATCGTCCACCACATATTCATTGATCGATGACTGATATATATATATATCAGATGATAATCACAGTTATGATCATTTCGTTGAATTCTGTGTAACATGAAAATTTCCATCTGTCAAGTGATTTGAACCAATTAAATGTGAACCTTCATGTACTAGCAAAAAATTAGGCCCATGCAAAGAATAATTAACCTGGATATCATATTTTTCCAAAGAAGTTATCGCCGATACTTGTTGTTCCTTCTTTGAAATAAACCCAATATGTCTGAAGCGGAAAAGCGGTATTTAATTCATCTTTTGGTATTTAATTAAGTTTGAAATTTGAATTCATTTTTCAATGTTTGCAACAATTAAATTGTTCAGTAATTGAAAAATTTTCCGACATATTCCTAATATGTTCCAGGTTTTATCTAGAAATTTCAAGTTTTGCATTTTCGATTATTGAAATGCTACCATTCATAGATCGTATTTTAAGTAAAACCGAACAAAATAAATTGAAATATAATGTGAAATACATATAGTTAAAGTGAAAACGATTACTGTCGATGGAAACGAATGAATACGATTTTGCTTCACATGGATCTTTGAATCATTCAAAAAATCCGAACTCCTTCATCTGAAAAAGAAAAGTTGAAATATTTCATTGGTGCTTCAAGAACTTGGAGCACACTAATACAAGACATTACCATTTTGTTAATTTCACAGAAAAAAATTTCCACCTTCATTGCTTTCTTGAAATGATTTTACGTTGAGGTAAAAGAAAAATTTTTGTTATGAAAGGAAAGAAAATCTGACTTTTCTTGTTTTGTTTCAAAACTTTCTTTAGAAATCCTCTTTTATAAATAAAAAGCCAATGTTTTTAAAAGTTTTTTTAGAGAGAAAAAAGTGGGTACATAACTTACTTACCAGGAACTGAATTACTGTCTATTTTTGAAATATACAATTACACGAAAACATTAACTCGAACATTTCCGCCCATTCTCCTAATTTTTTATTCGTACTTCAAATTTTGATACTGTATCCGATATTGTTTCTGCTGGAAAATAGAAGTCTTACAAGGAAAGAAGAAACTGTATGTTGCTTCATCAGATTATCACTAATCAGGTCTACTTCTTGATGAATCTGAATCTGGGATACTGATAAAGAATCTCGGCATCAGTTAAATGAAAGGTACATATTGATAAAGATAATGTAGAACTTCGTTCCTTTTTTACTGAAAAAATAAATAGAGCCGATACCAAATTTACTAAGGTTCATCATTTGTGGTAACAGTCTTTGGAATTTTCTACGGATTTCTGCTTTACTTTAAATAATTTGCTTATCTGTGAGCTTGACCTCCAGCAAGTCATCCGACAGTGATTGCAGGAATCGACGATCAACTACGGTAAAGCATGAAGACATAAAGTCTGTACAAGACATTCATCGAGCACATCTGTTCATCAAATTGATTAAATCATACTGAGCACCAGTTGTAATTACAAATCTACCTCAAAAGAAAGTATTCTATTTCACGTATTTCGCGTAAAGCAGCGTCATTATTAAATAAGTAATTTACTAGTTCATTTCACTTTCGTGAATCTCCGAGAAATACTTTCTCTTATAGAGTAGCACTTTTTCAGCATTACCAAAGAAAATAAGTTCGATGCGTTAAAGTCAACAACATTACCAACAGAATCGTCACGCCAAAGCCTGCAGAAATACGTGAAAATCCCGAAAACACCTGATCAGCTAAAGTATCTCTCGTCTTTCCTAACTCTTGACCTTTGCTCTTTCCTTTGAGACTACCTTTTTCCTGATCAAACTCACTAATTAACAGTATAATGATGCCAAGTAAAAAAAAAAATTGAAAATGACAGAAAGATAGAATAATGTCGCGAAAGTCG